TTTTGCACGTTAAAGGCTTTTCCTGCTTAAGACATACACGTACGAGTCAGAACCAAATGCCGAACACGAGTTCGAATGCGGCAATGATGCGTGGTGTGGGCGGCCTTGAGTGTTAGTACATTCAAACATGAATCGGCCAATAGGAAGGACGCGGTCTATATGAATACAATGCTTGGCGTGCACAAACGAAACGTCAAAGAGTCAGCAGCTTGAAAGATTTAGTCCTAAACAATCTGGACAACCTCTGCTCTTCTTGTGCTTTTAGTACATATTGGATTGGCAGTAGTGTCCCAGAATGTATCCCGCTGGTACCAGTTTGAATCCTAGGTGCTTAATTCTAGTCTGACATCATCCTCAAGACAATTCAAGGAAATAACAAAATGCAATAATCTATTTCGAATATGTTACTATAAATAACAACAGTTGACACAAGTCTACAGTTACGTGCCAATTTTGAAAATGACTTAAAGTGAATTTATCCACGAAAGGAAAATGCCGTTGGATAGCGTTGAGTGTGATTAAGTTGATTTAGGTAGGTCTCACTAGATATCAGTGGCACTGTAATTCGAGGGTTCTTTTAACGATTTTCCATACAGTCATTTTAACGGCACATGAAGGCTGATATCCTAATTATGGGCTTATTATAGAAAAAAATTTCCTGTAACATTTGAAAATTGGACCAGTGCCAGTGTTTGAATGTTGTCATAGCAATTGGTAAAATAGCCAATGAAGCCATTCCCCCATTGGCTAACTCAAGGTCACCTTGATTTCCTACTTGTTTGGACAAAAATTCACTGCAATTACCAGTGTGTTTTGTTAATAAAGTAATAAGATGTTACTAGACATTCTGTCTCGACAACTGCTACGATTTGTCCGTAAATAACACTCTCGGTCATGGAAACAAAACTCAAATTCCTACTTCTTACTGTCTTAACCAATGACAGAGTAATACATCGAATTGCCTTGAGTGACCTTGACTTGACCGACTAGGGAGGTTAACACTGGTCAGAGGTGTTAGTGTGAAGTAGAAATGGTGTGACTGCTGAAGTGGTGTAGCTGCAGTCCTCTCGGATAGGTGGCACATTTTGGGAACGCGTGATTTAAATTAAATAGACCGACCAATGACACGTATTGGTATTTCAAATGTGCTATTTTACCTTTCTGAAAATATTTGAAAAATATTGGTGTTTAATTTAATCCATCAGCAGGTGACTGAGTGTGCATGCAATGGCTTTAGGACAGATGCAATCCTGTTTCAGATATCACGACGACAATTATGCAGATGCAATTTTCCCCATAATAACGTGTGAAAATGTAATTTTACAAACAGGCAACTAGTAATTACCGATTTACTGCTACACCAACCCTAAAATTCGGAAAGCTTATTGGTTTAATACAATTAGTGCGATATTTACCCAAAAACTCTACACTCTGATTGGTTTAGTGAATGCGGCAGCTCAAAAGTAACGTAATTAGACTAAACTTAGCGCCAGTAAGGTGTGGAAAGTCGTTTTTTTAAGTTTAAACACCTTAACCTTCAGCAAATTACTTATCCCTAATGGGCAAAAAATAGAAATCTGCAAGAATGCACTCTGGAATTTCGTGAAGTTCTTTAAACGTCCCAATTTCTAGTCGATATATTTTACTGCCAGTGCATCTTGAAGTCTCACATTGGTACACGATAAATTTGATTTTTTAGCTTCGCATTTGTGTAATGTTTTTAGGGGTAACATCGAAGGTACGTGTAGAACATTTTATCGTAACTTTTCTTCTAAGTGGTATGATCTTACAGTTGTTTAGTGGGTTGTGGGAATCAAGTGTTTGATAAATTAACACCCGAATTTCACATACTACTACGTCTAACGTCTGATCCACCAATCATGGTAATTCAGGTTTGGCGGTCCGTTAAATTAACACGTCCAATCTCCCAGAATTTACGCCTTGGTCGACGTTAACCGTAATTGAGATATGAAACACGCTCAGGTGGGCCGAGCCAATGGAATGAGAGCAGTCATTGGTACATCTGCTGAACACACTTAAACAAACCTGCCTATTTCGAGACACAGTTAGTCATTTTTGATCGATTTTTGTCGAACGTAAACTTCCACTGGTTGTCCTTCAAGGCCACCCACTACGCCTGATTGCGCAATTGATTCCTACCTGTAAATGATCCACACGAACCACCTTCCCGCACCACTGCATTTTTCCCGTAGCCAGAAGCACACACTTAGAAAAATTGCGATCCCAGATTCCTTGACTGACGCTAGATCCGACCTTCCCAGCACAGGACAAAGAGGAGGATTCGTACGGATGGCTTTTATTGTCAATAAGAATGTGCCCACTTATATAGGTCAACGGTGACCTTGACATGATGCTTCAAGGCGGATTAACACAGATGGAGCTGTAAGAAGGAAGTCGTGGGTGCCTCATTCACTGGACTGTGTGAACGATGACCCAATCCTGACTGCCGATGAGCCTGTAGTGGCTGGAGTTTAGCACTTCCTCACAATCCTCTAGTTAACAGCACGTAACAAACCGAGAATGGAGAGAGGAGAGGCGACAGAGGACTCGACCATTTATTGGCGTCACGCCAGCCAAGTGTGTCTTAGTGTGTGGATGAGTGAACGGATGACAGACGTTTGATAACAGTAACCAATGAACAGGGGGTGAGTCATTGGCACCGTCAGATCAGTAAGCAGGGTTCACTCAGGCGCGATCGCTGTTAATCCTCGACAAGCCCTCCAACGCTTACTTCTTTGCTGAATTCACCAGTCTATACGTCTCGAGTCCAGAACTATGAAATAAACTTAATTCTTTAATTACTTGTTTCGAAACCCACTTGCAGGAAACGGAACGGTGTTCTTGTGTTTCAGTAACCGTTTTGCCCTCCAACCTGCCTGAACTTCTTTTTCTTTAAACGTTCATTGAAATTCGCCCTATTTGAAGTTTGAAGTCAAATCAAAAAATAATATTAGTTTTGTCTTAGGTGAGACTTGGGCTCATGACGTCATTTTAAAGACTTGTTGAACATCACGAAGAAATTTTGCAAATGAATGGCCTTCATATCTAAATTTCCCCAACACGGACTGTCTGTAGCCTCGAGTAACGTTTTTTTATTGTGATTTCAAGCTGAAGGACGCATTGTTCGAGCACTGCCGCAAACTGATCCATGCCTTCTTGAAGAACCACGAGGCGACCTTCGCAGTCCTGCGTCACTACCACGAATGGCGTGTCGAGCATTCATCGGCGGTGCGCCACATGGCCAGTCTGCTGGTCCAACGACGCTACCTCCTGCGGTACGACTTTGTCACGACGCGAGACCAGGCCCTCGAACGCGAACGCTACCGCGAGGGACGCGAGAAGAGGATCAGCAAAATTTCAGCCCGTGTCACCGCTCTGCTTGACAACCTTCAGCGGATTAACAAGGACAATGCGAGTGAGGTAAGATGTGTAGCCTCGAACCTGGGCTGTGTGGACATGGGGCTCGAACCTGGATTGAGTAGTCGTGAGGATTAAACCTGGGTTGAGTAGACGGGGAGCTGAAACCTCTGCTGAAGATGTGGGACTCGAACCAAAGTTATGTAGACCTGGGACTTTAACCTTCGCTGAGCAGACTTGGGACTCATGGGCTTGGACTCGAACCTGCGATGATACGGGGTTCAATTTACAGACACACACGCACACAAAAGCTACTGGAAAGGCGAAAAAAGGCCAGATATGATCATCTGTGAGTAATCTGGCAACTCACTAAGAAAACTTGTAATTCTCCGGCCGTAACACTAGTTGAAAGGTCAAAGATCAAAGATAAAAACGAAATCTGATATCAGTGAAGAGCGGGTGGAGATGTAAACAGGAATCCCGACTTTTGCGCAGAATGATCCTGAAATTTGAGGATCTGTTAAGAGCTGCCAGGGGTCACACATGAGTTAAAGGTTATCAGAACAGATTCCCCCAAGCTGATTGGTCAAGCATACTTGCAACACGCCCACGTGCAATACCAGATGGTGGGACGGTTGCATTCACAGGTTCCGTGAATGCCAGCGGCAGTAGCTTTTCCAGGTGATGCACGTTGAAATCGTCGATGGATCTAGGTGAACCAGATGATCACTTCAGATCGATGCAGGACCAAGTTTTGACTCTAAAATCGGCTCACTTGATTTGTTCAGGCCCAGATAGTCCACATTTCATTGGAATCCCTAGATCTATTTTGATCTAACTAAATCCTGCTGTTTCGTTCATGATCCCAAATCGTAGACGTTTCCTAGGCATTAAGGTAAACGGGACCCCTGTAGACTTGTTTCTACTGTTATTATTTTCAGTAACATATGAGAAATAGATTATTGCATTTTATTACAACGTTGAATTATCTGGAGGGGGATGTAGGACTAGAATTAAGCACCTAAGATTTAAACTAGTACAAACAGGATACATTTTGGGACACCACTGCCAATCGAATGTGCGCTCAAAGCCCAAAACAACAAGTTCCAACACTGGGAAAAAAACAATTTTTTTGGAGAAAAGAACTAGTCGTGGAGGGGTTAAGTTTTATTTAACCGAAATGAATGCAAAGATTCGTTAGGAAAAGTAAGAAAAGATTACAAAGTAACATAACCAAGGTGCCCAGATTGTTTAGGACTAAATCTTTTAAGTTTTTGGCATTTTTCGTGTTTTGTTTATGCACACCAAGCTTTGCATTCATATAGACCGCGTCCTTCCTATTGGCCGATTCATGTTTAAATGTACCTACACTCAAGGCCGCCCACACCACGTATAATTGGCGCATTCGAACTCGTGTTCGGCATTTGGTTCTGACTCGTACGTGTATGTCTTAAGCAGGAAAAGCCTTTAACGTGCAAAACGAGCTAGATTATTTGCTGTCAAGGTCTTTATCAATAGAAACTGGGCGGCGGATAAGGCAAGTGTGTGGCCAATTAATTACGATGATGCGGGTAGGGTGGGGAATAAGGTACAGAGGGTCATCGATGTACCAGAACACACGTAGGCTGAGGTGATGGACGTGAATAAACTCCCAATTCTCTAGAGTACAAACCAATGAAATATGAGCGTACATGCCAAACACACATTACTGACGTTCGTGACTGTGTTTCCTCTTTATCCAACGCCAAATTAACGCCAGGAACATCGTGTACTTTAGGAAACAGTAAACGCTTCTCTGATTCAACCTTCTGCTGCTTAAACACACCCACGGCTGGAACACGAATGTTGGTTTTGTGGAATCCCAGATCGTGCTAATGCATAGTCGGATTACCGACCACCACGGTATTGACTGCAGCTAATTAGCGGAACCAGTTTAGCCGTCTTCATTTGCACTTGAACCCATTTTCCACTCTTGTCTGACAAGCTGACATGTCGGCAAGACTGTCTAATCAGCTGTTCGCGCGGTGTTATTCACAGACAGAAAAAAAACGAATGCCGCAAATGCAGTTCTGTTTGTAGAAAAAAAAACAAAGTCAAATTTACCGGCAGAAAATAAACAAAATGAATGTATCCTTAACTGGGCCACAATAATTCTGCTGTGGTTTCTCTAATCCTCATTTAGCGGGTATTTTCTATAACAAAAAGAGCGTTTTTTACCTTTCCTTGATTAGTTGCCCGATTTCAGAGCGCCGAAGTCCAAATCCAGTGTCCGATAGCTTTGAAAAGATCAGTTGTGTGCCTTCTCTGCTCTGCTAATTTGCAATTTTGGCTACTAATGCTGCAAATTTAGTAGTGTATGTGTTTTTGAGTGTCGTGAGGCCTCAATCACCGAGTTTTTGTCAAATCCAGAAGGAAAGTCGTGAATTTGCGCAAAATTGCGGCTGCATCTGCTGGCCACAGACCTTTGCCACACGGACATCTCTATGGCCGTAAATTTGTTTACCACAATGTCCGTGTCAGAGATTTGTTTTTGACACCAGATAAATGTCACTTTTAGTTTAATTTGAAAGCCAACATGGAATGTCAAAACGAATAATTCCAGCACAGTTTACTCTCACGCGTGCAGGCGAACTTCCGAAGCTTAGAAGGCTGTAGTTGAAATTCGCGGATTTGATTGTTTAAATGAATGCAGAGTTCGACAGGAACTTGGCCAAATTTCAAGCCATAGTTGTCCAGAATTTAAGATGAAGTTGCGAGAAATTCAAAAACGCTCGTAAGATGGTTTCCAAACAGTAAAACTCACACGACATTTCGAAAAATACATCATTGGCGTTAGCCAATCAGAGCGCGCGTCCCTGAGATTGGATGGTACTAGCAAATGATCAACGAGAGGTCTCCTCCATAAATAAATCTTTCATCATGCATTTAGTTTTTGAAAATCAGAACCGTAGAAGACGAAACATATTATTTAGCCTACGAATGTTACCATATCTTGGTTGATGCTGCAGAAATTACGTCCACGTGACCGCAGAAAATTATCGTACTAGTGATTTACTATAATTAGAAACTGCAAACGAAGATTGACACCGCGAAAATCACCGTTATTTTGCCTGTTTTCGTTACCGCAGAGCGTTTACCACACAATTCTTGCAATATTGTTGGAGTAAATCCTTTTGGATCAGTTCAACCAATCCAGTTAACAGATCAGACAAATTCAATCGCAGTAAATAGGCTCTGAATCAATTATCGCGCATATACAACGACCTACTCTGTCATCTGTACACAAAACAATTGCTGAATTCTTGCCTGTTCCCTCGAAAAATTGTTGTATTTGAATTTGGACGTCACATGGTTTTTGGGTGTGCATTTTGACAAACACCTCCAGTCCCTGTTTTGCCTCTCTTTAAGCTGAAAAATCTCCACGACGACATCCAGAAAACTGAGGTCCAGTTGATGGAGCTGGAGGTCGAATCGAAATCACGCGTGAGAGATGTGTACAGGAAGTTTGCACGCAAGTACAGTGAAAACAGGCAGCAGTTTGAGTGTAAGTGACTAGCTTCACTGATTCCTGATTGGTTCGTTTTGTTTGTTTTTATATTATATTGTCAAGTTACAAGGTCGCATTTCAAATGAACTTCGTGGTGTAAGGCTTAGTAGATCTAGACAACCTGCTCATGTTCAGACCGTATGAGTTTACCTAATTTAAATTTTTGTTATAATTGTATCACCGTCGCTAGCTATAGGAGGAGAGCAGCCCAATCATTTTAAACCACGTTCTGAAATTCCATTCGCTGGCCAAAATATTTTTATTCCATTAACAGCCAAGATGCAGCTCCTTGGAGAAGACTTGGAGCAAGTCAAAACGGAGTTCACGGAGCACCGCGATAAAGCCAAGAGAGACCGGCAAGGCCTGCGCCGCCAACTCAACAAAAGCGGGGAAGTCGTTGCGATGTGTCTAAACAACATGGACGACAAGTTGTTCGATTTGGAAGTAAGTTTGCAGCTGTGTTGGTGACCAGTCGTTCCTTTATTACCAGTGCTCACCACCCCTAGAACAAGAGAGACGGCGGAACGATCAGCATTTGTGGAGTGAGAGGGTGGGTCATGATGCTGACGATCTTCGAACATGTTTCTGAACTGTTTTCAAGTAATCTCGAGGTGTCATCTTCGCTATCTGGGTTGGTGGAGTTACATGATCAACCCTACCTTATCCACTCTTCTCTAGATGGTCATGACCGCACAGAAATGTAGAAAATTGTTAGTTGATATGTGCGATGACAATAAATCAACTTAGTTGGTCTGTCCCACGGGTCATTTTGATGTCGAAAAGTGTTAGAAGTGTCGCGGAGCTGCCACTTTTATGATTTTTCTCCTTGTTTAAAACCATATTTAAAATTTAAACATTTTTAAGGATTCTTAACGGTCTTAAGAGAATCGAACTGAAGGTTTGAGAACACCAAATGACACGTCTAGGCGAGTCACGGAACCTCTAAGAACAGCAGAGTTTGCGATGCCAAATGATAAACAGCACATTTGGTGATACTGCATTTTTAAACGAGTTCAACCAACGACAAAGTACTTCTAGAGCACGGAAATCAATTTACAGTGTTCTACAAGCGTTTTACAAGTTGTCATTTCGAACTTAGTGACCGGCCGCGCCCCACGCAATCGAGTGTTTGAAGATGTGGAAGTGCAAGCTCTACTGGACGAATACTCAACGAAAAAGCGAAAGTTAAAAGTTACCTAAACAGGCAACCCAGCACATCAACGCCGAAACAGGACATGACCTTGAAGCAGGTTCTCTTGTCCATTCGGTTTGACATGAAGGGTGTACATTTTTACGAACTCCTGGAAACTGATTATCAGACGGTGACTGCAGACAACTGAATAGACTGAGAGAATAATGCAATCAGATAAGGAAAAATTTACTGGGCAAGGAAACAGGCAAGTCATACTGCTGCTGCATGACAACGCTCGACCACATCACGCTGCTCGCGCGACTCAGAAGACCCCCTTGAACTTGGGATGGGAAGTTCTCCCACCCGTGGCATGTTCACCAGACCAGGTTTTGAGAAAGTGGAGAGACGATGAGGATATCAGAACCGCAGATTCGGCAGTGGGATTCACTTCCTGGTTACATGGCAGTGTGTGTGATGCGTGTCTAATAGTTAAAAGAATTGCTTCTTCTTCGCAAGTGCTCAAATCGCGCGCCAAAAACGGCCACCAATCAACCAACGGCTTTGAACGTGCACTTTCAATTAAAGAGCTACTGCTGGTACCAACGAAGTTCAAAGAAGTCACGATTCAGCGATCTGCAAACGTCTCTCTCAGTGTACTTTGTCCATTTTTCAGATAAGGTGTGCTACGATAGCCACCTGTACGAGACTGAGTGCCTTCCCGTCTTTGAATGCAACAAAACACACGTGACATACAATACAGCCCCGCTTTTTTGCGCACTAGTAATTTTTTACTTCATTAATGTTTCCGATACGGTGGTTTGCGCTGGTCTGTTTGATTTTAAAAAAGAACCTGCTTTTTGGATATGTGGCAGGATTTGCAGTTTATGCAAACCATCGTAATTTGCCATCTTTTTAGCTCAGATACGGCGTAGTGATGAAAAAGTATGAAGAGCTCAGCAAAGAACACGAAGCCCTCTTGACTGAGTTTCAGGTAAATCTTTATATTTAGTCAAAAACTGTTAATTGCTGCATTTCGTCTCCTGGTGCTGAGAAATCCATGAACCCTATTGGATAGATGTGGACGGCAGGAGCCAATGAAATCGATTTTCAATACTATAACTTCTTACACATTTTCTAATTTGCATCCGCTGAAATGGTGACACGGTTGATCCTTTAAATGGTATCAATGAGTCTGATTTTTAAAATATCACTTTAGATATCTGACAGCTCAAAGCACTGGAAAATTTTTAACAGCTTAAAACAAGCAATCACACGTCATGAGTCAAAATTGGATGTTAGATCTAGTCCTTTTTATGCAACAGCAAATGTGAATGAAATTTGCCGAAATGTCTAATGCATGGATTTGCGGGTGAATAAACTGTAAACATCACCTATGTAGCATCATTTGATGGTTGGTCATCTCTCTGGATATCATGATCAAACCCTTTACGATTTGCGAATATCAGCTACTGTTTGAGAAAATTTACACCTCCTGACCATCAGAACGTGACGCAAAATTCAGGAAATCAGTAACACAAGACTATAATTTTTAGGATTTTTACAATTTTATAATTTTTACTATTAGCCGCGTCTGATGCACACCAACTTTCGAATTCATATTCCCCTCTTTCTTCCCATTGGTCAATTCATGCGCGTTTTGTCTGAGTGCTAGTGTGGGGTGTCTGATAACGTCCTGACGCGGGAATCGATTGTTTGCCCTCGGGGTTTCGCACCACTGGAAATTGTAGCCTTTGACCCACTCCTCATCCACTTTAAGACCCCTTTCATTTGATTTTCCCACTGTTTTAAAATATCTAGTCAATAAACATGTTCCGGTCACCGTCATGATAACCTGGTGCAAAATCGATAATACATTTGAACAACGAAAATCGATATTCATGCTATTTAAGCATGGAGTATCGTTGTTTTTAAGTTCAAGAAAAACAATAAATTAATTGCGGATAGGAAGATTATTTCCTTTGCTCCAAATTTTTAAGACTTAGACTACGATAAACCCTCAAAAGGGACAATGTGGTTTGATTTCTCGAAAGATGCATTTAAGCTTCCAAAATGAATCGGAATAAATTGGTGTACTGTTTGGTGGACTTTAAGTAAGCGATGTTTCAGACTTCCGGGATTTGGTGGTTGTCTACACATAGCATGTGATTTTTACCACCACATACGTGTTTTGATTTATGAATGGGAGTTATCATCAGATTTCCACGCACACGAACGACAAGACAGCTGTCTGGAAAACAGGTTTTCTAGATCTAACTGTTTCTGTACACTTTTTTGCCTTTTCTTAAGCCGATAAAAGAGGAGTACGATGGTGTAATGGAGCTTCGGCGGCAGGAGGAAGAGGAGAGGCAGAGGTTGGCGCGCGAGAAAGCCGAGATGATCCAGGCGGCGACCTTCATTCAAAGCCTCTACCGATCCTGGAAGACGCGCAAAGAAATCAAGAAGGCGGGCAGAAAAATGAGATAAAAACGATTTTTTTGTTAATCTTACGCATACACGTATAAAGTAGTAATACAAGCGTAATGCCAGAAACATACTTTCAAAATTATGACCTTTTTCGGTTGCATTTGGCCCATGAATCCTTTTCACCACTATTGCTGCAAAACGTAGAACTGTGATCCTCCTTCATTTGAACTTTAAGCGGCGGTCCAATTAGGATCGTCTCTTAGAGGTCAATTCAAGGTCAAGTTGTATTTGGAGGACTCTTGTAGTAAAAGTTTACACCGCTATAAGTGCCACAGGCGCAAAGACAATTTAACCAATTAGACTCCGCTGACGAACATGTTTGCTCCCGAGTAACCAATCAGGCGCTCTCTTTATGACAATCGACCATGTTGCCAGATGCGAAAGTGGTACTAGGACAATCGATTTTGTGCTTAGTAATGAATATGTGGATGGGAAGTGTCAAGTGAAAAACCTAGGTCAAAAGACAGTATGCAGTCGATAATGTTTTGTTAAATTTAAATTACATAGACGAGAAGGAATTGCACATAGGGGTGTTAGAAACTGTTGTTCTGTTAGTGGATTATTTGATCAGAAAAGAAAATTTTAGTGATTGAAGTTCAAGGTCGTTTGTGTCTTGCTCAAATGCAACCGCGTGTGGGAATTAGAGCAAATTTAAACAATAGCTTAAATTTTCGCTTGCAACCGCCCTCTGACAGTTTCATAATCGAGCAATTTTGTTTCGTGTGAAAATACGGACTTTAATGATGTGGAAATAATTACCAATGAGGCATAGGTCTGCAGTTAAGCGTCTATAATAGGCAGGTGAATCTGAGGGCCCACCCACTGAAGATACTGCCACGGGAACGAGTCAGCCAAACCACATCATTAATCACGAAAACGTCCAGGGCAGCATTTTAGCCATTGATAGTCAATTGTTTATCAGATGCCACGAGGGAATCGCATCTTTATGGCACACCTGCCTAGTGAGATGATTTTAAACGCTCAAAAATTACCACGTTTAATGCGAACAAGATTTTTTTCTCATTCCTGAATTAATATGGACCTACCATATGGTATCAGTACCACTTAATAAAACCAAACGTGTGTAATTCAAGTCGAAAATGGGTCTAGCCTGTACAGCGTTCTTGTTCACGTTGAATGGAAATTAACAAGAAGTTATTTACGGTTTGGCCTTCACCCTGTACATTAGCGTGTAATAATTCCGTCTATAAATGGCATGTTAGATTCGAGAGTTATAAACTAGAAATATCTCTAATTTGCCTTTCTTTGCACTAAAGAAATTATAAAAAAATATATGCAGATACTGATTTTGCGGTGAAAAAAGCGAAACTAAAGTAGTGTTTTTAACACAACCTTGAACCCTGAAGTAAGACTACATAAATTTTAAAAACAGCAGACAGCGCGATAACTCATTACACTGTGAAATGCGGAGGTCTGAGTTAGAGCTCTTTAGTAAATTGAGAGAACGTGGGAGGCATCTGTCAACCGCAAAAAATTTAAAGACTTCGTATAAAAACAATTTTAATGTACGTATTATAAATCTCTAGACCGAGGTACAAACCTTTGAACCTCACAGTAACCCGATCTTTATCACTGGTCGGGGCAAGTTTGTTTCAATTTATTCGTCAAGGTCACAAATTAGGCCATTGTGTTGACAAAATACAATCAGTTCTCGCGCTTAGAATCATCAATCGTGACTCTTCCCGCAGAAAAAGAGAAAAGGGTCGTGGAGAGCTACCCAAACAATACACTACCTCCGTTTTTTGCACTGTAAATATCAAGCAGAATTACAACGATTCTTTTTACTAACGTCGCATATTCTTTGTCGATTTCTGGAGTTAGAATTACCAGAAAATAAAAATAACAGTGTGTCAAAGTGAAAAACAGAACAATTTTTTAACCCTAAAATTTTGACAAGAATGTCGCTCTCACTGCGATTTTAACACAAGTTAAGCACTTAATCGCATTTGCAAGGAGACGGTCTACAAGTCTGATAATTTAATTAAGAAAAATCATGCAGGAGATGACATTTAGGACCTTGAAATGGCCTCACTTTACTTGGCACATATTACACCTTGCAATGTAGGAAACATTACGATTATGATGTTCTGGTTGCTCCCCTACAAACCTGTTCTTCTGGTCTGTCGGTAGAGCCGCGACGGATGATTCCAGGAACGAGATTGGGTTGGTTGCTGGCAAGCCAAGGAGTCGGCGACATGACAACACATCGAGGTAGATGCAACCGTTTACTCGACAGCTGACCTTCTTCGTTTTGTGTCAGTTTGCCATCACTACGTACTAACGTCATCGTTGTGCAAGTAATATGTTCAGTTCGTAAGCCCCGTTCACACACGAACACTTCTTAATTTAAAGAGAGCTCAGATGCACAAATGCTCGAATATAAGGGGTTTTTAAATGGGTTCAGGCTATGAACGGTAAGTGACCAAATACCCAGCAAATTGAGGTAAGAGTAAAGTCAACCACTCAATTTCAATTGCTTAAATTTAGTGATAAAACATTTGCTGGCAAACTGAGATCTGCATTTTTTGCGTTTAACATGCATTAATTTGACCTTGAAGGTATGTAGTTAATCGATAATCTGGCATTAGTGACTGTCTATCGACTAGGAATGTGGATTTTTGAGATAGAGCATTATCTCGGAAAAGTAGGGTTAATAGTTCCTTCATTATAAAACAAGCTGATCCCATGATAGAGACGAATCCAAACTATCCTGCCATCCTAACTTAATCCACTCTGTAACACCTTTCATGCTGTAACCCGTGACTTTTTGTTTTACTATACTGATTTCCGCCAGAACACTATTCAGTTCGCCCCTCAGCAGATAATACGAGAACTTCTTCACATCCTGGATCTTCTTTGATGTTCTTTCCTTCCTACATGTCTGTCTGCTTGTGTCTAAACCATTACTGTTATTTACACACTACTCAACAAACCTTTAGGTCATGGAATGCTCAAATCAACCACCCTGATATCATATTAATTAACGACGTAATAAAATTTCCTTAAACCAAGTCTTGTTCCCTCAGTGATTTCTTGTGTTTGACCTGCTCTGTTGTCAGATCCATTTGGCTGTCAGTAGAACCAGTTCAGGATGTTTGATAAGTCGGTCAGTCGGTGTCACAAAAACACTATTCATTGATTTTGTGTTTCGTAGTTGACCTTCTATCATGGCCGTGCGACCTCTAAATTGAGCCACCAGATGAGAACTCGCATGCTACGCATGAATTTAAGATTCTGTGGCCATCAATTGGATTTCCTGCCGCCTGCTTAACCAATTTCAGCAGACGTTGCGTTACGTACATTCAGGAGTTTGGACGTAATGTGTTCACTGGCTAGAGGATGCATTGTTTTAACTTAAGGTGGGTAAATCTGAGATTCTCGTGACCCCTAGTGACCAGGTGCACTGATCTAACCGGAGCGTCATTTAAACACTCCTCTCGTAATCAAATAATACGAGCGTTTGCAAACAGTGGAAAAAATGACGTAATCCTATCAATGACTTCGACATTTCCTTTGATTTGATCTCACTGAGACGAGCCAGGTGTGCAAATTGTCGTTTTTATCGATTGGTGTCTGGATGGACGTTCACCAGGATATCTGAAGATTCCTGTCCTCGTGATTAGTCGGAGGTTAATCGCAACATCGAAACCCCAAGGTCCTTGTGCCTACTATTTGACGATGGGTAATAACTGTCGTTGGCGGAGTTATAAAGTCTTCGTTGGACCTACGAATCTTCGATTTGTCGAGCATGATGATGGCAACGTAACAACATTTACTGTCCGTCAACACAAACAGAAACGATGGACACAGAGATAAGGAAGTTGTCGAAACAGCCGTCTAGCCGTAAAACCGAAATTGAGTCACCGAAATCAATTGTATCTCGTCCATATTCAATAAGAAATAATCATCAGCTTTTTTGAAAAAAACATTTCATTTTGATGGTCTGGTCGCAAGAACAATTTGTGAAATGCAAAAGGCGCAGAAAGTCGACACACAAGCTTTCCTGAGTTCAACTTAGACAAACACACACAGTAACATTTATTATGTTATTTCCGCATGACCCTTTGTTTTACTTTACTGGTTTCGCTGGAACACTATTCAAAATGCCCAATAGTGTCTGCTGTCTACATTTACTGTTTAGCATTTACCATTTACTCTACTTATTGTCGATCCCAGCGCATTTATCTGCTATTGCTTATGCTGGTGGTATTCCCACACTCACCCTCTTAAATCCATCTCAACAAGACAGTTTTAACAGCAGAAATGCCTTGTTTCTCACGCCTTAAAAAACCGCAAATGTCGTTAGCCATTTCCACGTTTTTCCACGTTTGTCTTTTCCTCTGCTAGCTGCTGAGGCCCGTGTACACTGCCCGATCTGGTTACACATTGAGAAAAAATGGCCTTCTTTTTGGGGTTCCCTTGATTAATGACCCGCGAAAAGTCCCCAGGAATGTTCTAGACCAGACTTTTTTGACTTGCTTAATTCGCAACGCATTACCACCATCTAGGTGGACAGTCTAGTAACTGGCCGTTCTCATTTTCGATTACAACGAATCTACTTTAATTTAAAACAACTGGACTGTAATTGATTACAAAATTCCTAATTTGTCAGCTGAATGTTTGACTTTGTTTTTTTCTCACGACGTGGAAGCATTCCCGTCCAAATTAAATTTGATGAATTACGTGCAATAGCCGATCGGCTCTGGGGATTGAGTAGGGTGAAATAGGAGAATGCAAAGTTGTGTTTAATTTCCACCAATCGCGGCTTTCACTCCTGTCAAATTAGGACTCAAACTACAGGTTAAACTTGCCAAAATTTCAGCGAATTTGGCCGTGATTTTGCCTTAGTTTCAACAGTTTTTGAAACATTGAGGAATAAACTTTTGTAATTGCTCTAACTTTTTGTGAATTGTGTTTATTTACGCTTCTTAATCCGGTCGCTCCAACCTCCGACACAGGGTTCCCCTTTTCGCAGCATGTCGCCAGCCGCGCGGATCCTCACCTTCCCCCCCCCCCATTCGCACGAATATTTATCTTGGATTATCCCCGCACCTAGGTCTCGATGTTAGCGCATGTATGACTTACGCATCCGAGGTATAAATATACACGCGCAAACGCCACACACGACTCAACGACATCAGCGTGGTTGAGCTCTGAAGTAAACGGTTGTGTCCACGTCCTCTCCGCCCTTTTTCCTCATATCGGGTAGCAAGGAAGCTTAATCGGGCCAGGGTTAATTCAGTTAATTCCTTAATACCATGGAAGCACTAACTTTTCCATCTTCATCGATCATTCGTAAACTACTTACCATTGGTTGAAAATCCAAAGAAATGTGATTCACCCAATCACAATTCAGATATTGATCACGTTTGTTTTCGAAGTCGATTTTTAACACATTTATTTATAATACACACGTGGTTACACTGCGTGCCCTGTCTATTGAAAGGTAAATGCAGCCCTGCATTTAGCGATCAGGCAACTACTCCATGATCTGATGTAACCTAGCCCAATTCGTCCCATTCTTAGAGACGGAATTTCAAAATCAACCAATTAATACCGTGCACACCACATTGCATTTTCGTATCTACCGCCCTTATCTCATTGGCTCACACCTCTTTTGCATGTTAGCGGTCAAGATCATGCAATGCAATTGGGCAAATGCATGTGTTAGCTTGACCTTGTGCCGGTGACATCTTGCACGAAATTTTACTCATTCGCATTCCTCAACTTAGATCCCAGTCGCCTAAGTCAGAAATGTGCGCAGAAAAGCGCTGATTGGTTTGATTTAACTTCTGATAGATAAAGGGGTGTGTGTGAGGTGTGCGTGTTGGTTGTTGCTTTGTACCTGTGTTGTGACGAAGGGTAAAACAGACTATTACGGCATGCGGGTGTGTGTGTTTAAGGCAAAGCGTGATATAGACCTCCTCCAGAGGGTGTATTCGTCGTAAGGAAGGGTTGATTAGGGAAACAGAGGCTATGTCTAGGGGGGAGAGGGGGGAATTACTGAACGTGTTCTGGGCACAGGTACTGGCCGTTGACGATGCAGAACTGCTTGCCGTTCAAGGGGGCCTGACATTGTGCGCACTTGAAACACCCCTTGTGGTAGGCCTTTTCTTCGTACAAGACAAACTGCTCCGACGGATCGATGATGATCCCACAACTCTACAACAAAACGACACACTTCTCTTCATTGTGCGTTCAGTTGGAATTGCTCGCGTGATCGGACCTTTGTAGTGGCTTGTGGTCTAAGCACTACCTTACAACCCTCTAGTTAACAGCCCTTAACAACCCTAGAAGATAGGGAGGCGAGGCGACACGCCAGCCAAGAGTGCGGATGACTAGTGTCTGATAGCAGTAGCCAATGAATAGGGGATAAATCATCGTCACCATCAGATCAGTAAACAGGGCGCACTCGGTCCACCAAACTGAGATAGAATGACGAGTTGGCTTTTTGTGTTACACTTAGCATGAATTGTCTTAAATTTCGGATTAAATGTGCCACATTGCCGAGGCAATCAGCCTCTACGAGTCGAAAAAACGTTGTTGGCACATTTGGCCATTACATGAACGCCTTTAAAAGTGTAGAATTTGGGGTTACGTGTTCACGTTTCTTGACGTATGCTTAAATGTCGAAGATTGTGCGATCGAGCCATAACGAGGCAGTGGTTCGAGATCATGTGGCGGGACCAGTAAAATCTTTTTGAATTAAATTTTTTTCCAACCATCTTGTGATGATTTTACCTTAGCGACGTAACCGCCATAACGTAGAATAGTTTATTGGTCCCACAAAAAACACGCGACTGATTAAATAGTGGCACGCAGCTTGTTATCTGGTGACTCATTCACCAACTGTGGAGTAGAACAGACGTCCACTTTGGCTCCACACCTAGCCGATCCCCCTCCAACCATTTAGTGGTCATTAATCATGCGCGCATTTTCGAAGTTTGCAGTGGGGCTATGGTTCTTGTTCGCATTAACAAGCTAACTAACCAAATGCTAGACTAATTTGAGAATCAGACAAAGCCATACCCATTTTTAAAACACGTATTTTGTATTGCTACTCATAAATTAATTGAGTAGACTTTGACGGCTGCACTGATTGACCAAACCTGGACCAATCAGGCTTAAACAACGCCATGTGAGCGGAATCTAAAGGCAGTTCTAAATTCGGTCGTTTTTTAAATCAGCCGTTAATTTTCGAGAAATTTGGCCATCGAGAAAGGCCGGTCATGGAGTGCAATTGAAAAGTTAGTTTTTTGTGAAACCGAGGCTCCAAAATACGACTTTAAACTATTTGCACATTCTGCTTCTGGCGTTTCCTCACTAAGTTAGAATAGGAAGCATCTTCAAAAAAGGCACATTTAAAGGTCTTCGTGAATGAATGCAATTCCGAAATTGAGGTTTTGTTGTCCGCCAATGATACCTAACGATGTTTTGACATTTTCGAAAACCTTTTTTATGCCATGGGGTTGGGGATTCATTAGAATATCCATTTCAAATGGGCTGAGTCATGCAGCGATTTGATTGGTCTATTCAAGAACACGTCATCGTCAACCAATCAATGTAGCCCCAATATATCGACCTAGTCAACGGCTTCAATAACTTAAATATTGAACTTCAATACTTGGACACATTCACCAATTCTATACCGACAAACAGTTCGGAGCTCATATCTCTGCAAACTCGATTTGTAAGGTGCTAGGTGCCTTACATCTGCTTTACAAACTTGACCAGATTGATTGGTACTTTACCCTTAACACTGACCGCTTATTGGTCCACCACATGACTTGTTGTAATGTGTAATCAATCTCTCCATTCCTGTTGTTCACCCCTCCTCCCTCCCTCTTGACTCCTGGGAATTGTTTCGGCATGTATCTGTGTAAACATGCTCCCAGAACTTGAACCGACGATCGGTAACACGGGCCTCAACTGTACACCCTCACGACCAATCAGTAGGCGCGATCAGCAACGGCTGCACGCGCTTAGATTAAACTGTCCAATAAACGATTGGGTGATTGGTGTCGGATTGGGCCAAGGCGGGTCCCTCAACACACAACTTCTCCACTTAAAACACAGTTCCTTTTTGGCCTGGTCTGTAGTCTCCTTAAAATACCAAAAAGATTTTCGTTGTTTATTCATTTGAAACCCACGATGCAGCCAAAATTCATAAACTGGTTTAAATTAAATCAACTCAACCGCGTTTTTTTTTAAATATAGGTTAATACCTGATTAGCCATGTAAAAATAACAGCATTTGTTTAAAATTGACCATCGATTTTAATACCACGTGACCACATTAAAACAAACCAACCAAAATGGTATTTCTTATATTCCGCAGTGTTGCTTTAAAGTGGAAAAGAATTCTTTTTTTTAAAAAAAGAAGCAATGAAGGTCACGACAATGAAAAGGGTAGCGGACACTCCCCAGCACACCATTGCCATGGTTATTCACTTATTTTCCCTTCCCGAAGAAGAAGTGGAGGGTCGAAAGACGAATCAACAGGAAATTAGAATATTCTAAACTTATCGACTGGTTAATTTTATTTTCTGTAGCTTTAGCCTTTTAAATCGGGAACTGGATACTGCCAGTCCCTTTTTAGATCACCAAATGTAATCTTGAAAAAAAAACAGTAAACCCAAAGAGACCATAGACAAATCCCTGATAAAATGTCATTTTTTAATCAAAAATATCCTGGTGATAAAATTAGGTGAGAGCGTGTACGTCAAATCATCGACTGACTCAAACTGCGTCCTCAATATTTCTGGGGTTTCTGCATTAAAAATCAGTTTCGCATGAAAAAATAACTCGGGAATGATTTGAGACCAATGTTTCTGTTGCATTCGTCAAATCACCTGATTTATTTAAAAAGAAAACTGTAGCTTTTTCTGTGATTTCAACAAACCCTTGTGGTCACAGAACATGTACTTCATTGTTGATGCAAAAAAACTGCTGTGGAAATTTTGGGGAGAGCTAACTGCCCCGACTACGTTATTTCGTACTTGGAATTCTGGAAAGACGTCACCCACATACCGTGCACCGTGGCTGGAACTTCTCCTTCCAGCAGTTGACGCAATACGGCACCTCGTCTTTGCAGTGGAAGGACTGGTTGGCGAGCTGGTGTTTGCAGCCAGCACACACGAAGCACTCCGGATGCCATCGCTTGTCGAGGGCGTTCAAGATCGAGCCAGCTGCGAACGGCTTCGCACACTTTGCGCAGATTCCACTGGACATCTTGTAGAGCTGTCCCAAGGCAAAACACGCGGCATTAGCAATCAACCAATCAAATTTGAAAGAAAAGTACCGCGCATTTCTAACAGCCTGCTCCACAATTCAAGTTGGCCTCCTCAAATTTATCGATTTTTGATGTCGATACAGTGGTGTTATTAAATAAAGCAATCTCAGAGTCTGTCATATCATTTTTTTAAAAATAGACTATTTAAGTGATTTAAGAAAATTACCTACTTAAACGAGGTAGCGCAGTAAAGGCGCGGGCAGGAGTCAATCACTGCCTAAAATTAGACATTTCGCAAACTGCAGAGCTAACAAGACTAGGGGCGATCAACTTTCGGATTCTCAGCCAATCAGAACACGCGACCTTGAGTTTGGGCATTGCTAGCGAATGATCGGCAAGAAGTTGCCTCTACAAAGAATCTTTTCGTTCCCTCGATGAATTTATTAACATTCCTGTTGATGCCGCATCAAATCGTGTCCGCTTAACGACTTTAGGAGAAGAAAAGTACACTGGCAGGAAAGAGACCGTTATTAATTTATGCCCGAGGTCGCAGTAACACAGACGGTCGTAATTATTAAACATGTGCCTTAACGAATGGCCACCCCACGTTGTTTTAACTAGATCAGAGGTCATGTGTGTTCGAAGGTCAACATCTGCCCCAGGGCGAAAAAACTTATTTGCCAGAAGGAACAGTCCAGCAGAGGAGACTTATTTAAAAAACCAAAACGTTTCACATTTATTTCCTTTGGACTTAAAAAATGGTTAAAAAATCTGTGATGAGTAGAGAGGGTTTGTGTTATAGTGCAAATGTCAAAAACTAATGAACTTTCGATAAAAAAACTGAAGAAATTGTGTTTTTTTGTTTATCGGCAGCACATTCATCAATAAAATTACTTATTTTTAAAACAGCAAAACTTATGCTTATCACTACAGACTGGTATTAGTTTAAATTATGTCAGCTTTTTTGGAAAGGAATTTGATAAGCAAGAAAAAGTGGTATAACACTTATGCACAAATGCAACAATTGGGTGATTTAATTCAATCTTATCTAACAACGTAATTGCGAATTGGCGGTTATTCCGCCAGCACCAATCAAAATGGTTTTTTGAGATTAAAACTTAGGAAAGGGAGGTAAAGACAATGGGAATGAAAAAAAAACTTTCTTAAAAACGCCATCACCATGGTGAACAGGCGGGAAAAACAGAAAATAAATTTATCGATTAACAAGTTTAATACCATTGGGTTCGAACAGCTGGAATATTTCCGCCTATTTAGTGAAGGCGCTCATTTAAAAATGGAGTGAACAAAGCAGGTATAAGTCGTCAGATAAGCATATTAATGAGAATAACAAAGATTTCGCATGCTAGATGCTGCTTAACATTCTATCTGAAGTCACATTTCACGTTTAAACAACGGTAATTTTGTGGATTCCTAAAATAATATGGAGACTTAGTGGCATATCTTGATGATAACTTGCACTTTGCATATTTTTTATAGCTTACGTTGTCAAAAAATTTCAGTATTTGTCGCAATACCGAAAAATTTTTTCCCCATTTAAACAAGTGATTTTTCTTGCAGTCCATGTACATGCATGCTTGAAGATAACTTGCCCATTCATCATCAAAATTACACACGCTGTCTAGACAACCCCGGAATCACAGTAGACATCTTTCTAGATTATTCAGATTCACCTAATAACCGGAATCCCGAGGTATTCCATTTGCTAGTTAGGGATTTTCTTTTGAAAAAATTTGTCAAGAATACCGATCATGCAAAATTTGAACATTCCATGTCAAAACGCTTTACTTTGCAGAACGTTAACAGGCTATCTGAATAAATTAATCAAAAACCGCAAAATGAACTGTTTAAAATTAGTTATTTTCAAAAAATTATTTTGCGTCCTATTTTGTGTGGTAGCTCTGTTTGAAGTCCAGTGAAATTGCTTCGGGTTGGACAGTTTGAATTAATGCGGTTTATTCACACGAGCAGATTAATTTTAGTCATAATAAAATAAAACTTTGTCAATGAGATGTTTTGTAATTGTGGTTTACTCCAAAATAACACGTGTATGATTAATTACCAATCATGAAAATGGCAACTTACAAGAAATTGTAAAATTGCTCTCAGTTCTTTCATAAATTATGCTAAATTAGTAGTGTGGGTTATTTGCACGGTTCGTGTCCCAATCAGTTACTTTTGTTCGTTTTCGGTGGAGTTTTAATGACCGCACTTAACGATAGAACCAACAGGGTTGTGGTTTGAATCGGTTGCTGGAGTTTATGATTTCATTCCACTCTAAATTATCGTAACTAATTTAGTGCCAATTTGCGCAAACTGAGCTATAAAATCCTTCGGTAAAACGGCTGGGAGATTTTTGCCTCAAGGCAACAAAACGAATCGAGAAGGCTTGCCAGAAACCACAAACAGAAACACCTGTTTTAAACTGCTCCTGAACAATTTCCACTCTTTTGATTGTGCTTACTCAAGTGACGCCGTCTTCTTGTTTAAATTGACGCGCGCAAAATTACATGTCTACCAATTACCGCGCCAACATTTAGGCACGAACGCTTGGCAGGATGCTGCGCAAGGCAATTTAGTCTGGTTATTTTCAAAACAAACCCGAAATTTATAAGATCTAACTAATCACGTAGATCTTTGTACCAGACGAATCAGCACTGTCTGTTCCTAATGCCTTTTTGACAGAAAACTGTTTCTGATTCACTTTGACATCCGTTAAAATTGGCTACCTTGAACCAGATTAAATGTCTGCAAACTGTGTTCGACTTGTTCACTTTGCCAGCGCGCGAATTAAACAGGCATCTTAGGTTGGACCAGGTGTAATTAACGTTGCCGGTTTCGATTTGCAGGCGCCAAACACAGCCGGTTAGTTAAACATTTTATCGATGGACATTAAATCAGTACCAATCAAATCGTTGGAGCTAATTCAAAACCTGCCACTAACTAGATCCTGCCTCTTCAATTTACTTCAAGAGAAGCTGCATCAAACAGAGAGAAGAATTAATTAAAGTCAACAATTTGAGACTCACCTTAACTGTTCTTAGAAATCGTGATACTTGTTGTTTTAATGAAACCAAAATTTAAACACAGATAAGTAATATGTTAGAGCAAAAATCTAGAAACGAATACTAGATGTTGCTGGAGAACATTATCAAAAAATAGACTAATTTTTAGAGAGGAAGTGAAGATTCTTTGCTTACATTGTGTAAATCCTGGAACAACAAGGATTAATTCAAACGATGGCACCCAAGACTATGTGGCTTTAAAACATTGAAGGCTCTCGCGCGTGGATCATTCACGGTGTTTGAGCCAATCACACGGCAGTCGCGGTGGCCAACGGACGCGCGACCTTGAACAGTGCGAATAAACCGCCTTTTACGGCTAAGGGTTTCACGCGTTCGTGGACCGAATGTTTGGCGTGAATCAATATTCTAGGACGATAACAGCGGAAACATTGCGGTGCTAAGTCAGGAAAACAGTTCCTTCTCGGGGTAGAAAATGCCAAGCCATAGAGTTACCGATGTCAGCGCCTTAAATGCTGCGGTTTGGTAGTCATAGTGACCCCTTTTGGGATCAACAAGCGCATAAGCAAAAACATTTTTGCACAGTCCATGCAGTTCTAAGGATGAATACAGCCAAAACTACAAATGAATGTGGCCCTTTTCATGTCGGCACTCGTGATTGGCTATTAAATGGTTGATGAATTATTCCGAATTTAACGAAGAACCGGTAGAAGTAGGAAAAAATTCTAGGGTAGTGGTACTAATTAACTCATAGTCAGACGCTGAACTGCTTTGAAGAAGCTGACGATGTCAGCTGCTTACGTTGCGAGTATCACACTTCCTTTCCCGCTTTTAACCAATCACAATTCGCTAGAAACGGCGTACTTTTAAATTTTTGCCTCATAGAGTTCACTCAAACAGGCATGTGAGTTCGTTTACTTGTTTACTTTGAGGAAGAATTTTGCGACAGAGAGAATCTGTCTGTTCTGAAACAGCATTAGCGGTGTTAACGTCGAGGTAAACTTGTCAAATACGCATGGGCATGTGACTGTAACGCAACAGTTGCCACCAATGCGATGTGGAACTATTTTTATGCAAAATTATGGGCACCACTGCGAAGCACCATCGGGTCTGGCCCAAGTGCAGAACTTGCTATTCCACCCACTTAGGAGTTAGCAGAGTGTCAAGTCTGGTGATTGTGGGACCATTTCAACAGCGCGCCCAATACATCAACTTATCGGTGAAACCGCTGCGATTTTACACAGAATTTTACACGTTTGCTGGTTACTCGGCTTTAATGCCTGCACGAATTAAAGTTTAAATTTGGCGTTCAAAAATTTTAATGATTTGTAAACTTGATTCAGAAAAACTCATTTTGCACAACCCAATAAATCGATGAGTTCGGCGAGTGGGCCACATTGATGATCACAGATGTGTTGTGCCTAAGTGACATTTCATTGGCTGTTAATTTGGCCTTGGCTCAACCTTGACCTTGGCTCTTTTTTAAGAATTCTTATTAATTTTGCTAAAATGGGAGTTACTGCAAGCCTTAAGGTCGCACAATTCTACCAATTGTAAGCTTCGTGAAAAGTTTGGAGTCGTTTATTGCAACAAAGTCCAAATTTCATTCGCGAAATTGAGCGATTAAAAATTTAACAATGTGGAGGAGAAAGGTACGCGAATTCTCTATAGGTTCTAAAGTATTTTGGACATATTTACACCAAAAATATCTGTTATTTTAATCGCGTGCAGCTGCTCTAAATTGAGGTGATTTGGCACTACAAAGCTTTGAAACAGTACAAAATCGATAACATATCGATTTTTCCCCACAGAACACGATTTTGTTAAAAGATTTAGTACCTGTTTTGTGTTGTAATTTTTTGATTAAAAAGTGTCACACTGAAACCAGGTCATAGCCCAAAATTGGTTTTTGAGTGTTAATTTGTAGTAAGCATGTTAAATATCATATTTTTGCTACA